TTTCGGATGTATGGGGTGCATATTTATATTCGCACGCGTATCGCGTCTACAGCCTATTGGTTTTCCGTTCGCCGCGAAGAAAAGACGTTATAATTAAAAAAAAAAAAAAAAATCGATGCGGACCGACAAGACGCCGGTATAACAGCTATTTTTCCTAACACGTACGCATACCAAATAATAATATATTATTTTGTTTGTTTTATACCTGCAGTTGCACCGCCGGGCATCCCCAGGTATTAATACAATGACTGCAATTCAAAAATCAACTCGCGTTACAGTGCCGTACATCCACCGTGAGTATTATTATTTTTTATTGTTATTGTAATATTTCCACACACACACACACGCGCGCGCACACAAACTATCTTATCACGTACACTTTCGACAAAGAAGAGAAAAAAAAAAAAAAGAAAAAAAAACGAATAAATTTAAAGTTATTCTCGCGGCGACGGCGACGACGACGAAATTTCAATTTTTACCGCATTCAAACGCTGTGGCAGCCCCGCCGCGGTCCGAGCAACTTACTTTTTTTATTATTTTTTTTTTTTTTTATCTTTTTTTTGATAATAATTATTAATTTAAATTTCGCTTCATAACGGCGATGTGTACAATGCGGACGGTAACGAACGGGACGCGAACAATATTTGCTAAATCGCGATCCGATTGGCGTGCCGGCCGCCGCGACACGACAGCGCGGTGTACGCGCCGCCGGTGACAACGTGCGGTCCGTTAAACGCGCGCAAACGTCCGAAACGTGTTACACGCGGCACTCGAATCGCGCGATCCGTTCCGTTCCGGCAACGGGGGCCGCGCTGGGGCCGCGCGCGCGTGTCCCGCGATCGATCCCGCGCGCGCGATCGGGAGATCGCCGAATCGACGCGCCCTGTATGCGCCGTGACGGCGCGTACGTGCGGCGTGCGTGTAAACGTCTCGGGACCGCCGTCTCGCGGGCGCCGGGGGTTTTCGCGCGGACGACGCGACAACAAATTGCGCGCGTCGTTCACTTTTCGCGTGCGTCTGTGCGCGCGCGCGGTCCGATGCGTTGCGCACGTGAAACCGAACGGCGTAATTACGCCGTGCGCGCGGTCGAATTCCGCTCGTCGTAAACGCGTAAACCGCTTCGGATGGTAGTAGATAAATGCGCGTATAAAAAAAAAAACAAAAAAAAAAAATCAAAAAATCCGATAGACGATAATCAATGCGTGCCGCGGCAAGTGTGTTTGCACGGCCGGTTTCGGGTTAACGATTCACCGTTCGGGTGGGGGGGGTGGGGTGTGTGTATCACAGACGCGGGCCGAACAAAAACAATTGAATAGCGGAGAAAATGAAAAGAAAAAAAAAAATTACACAAATCGGCCGTTTTCACGCAGAATATACAGAAACGATTTATTTCGACAGTGGAGATTATTATTAAATTGGTCGTTATTAGACGTACACACTGTTGGGAAATGTCAACTATTCGGTCACTGTTTGTTTATCTAAATTCCATTCGCGTGAGATATTTTTTTTTTAAATCGATCCGAACATTCGAAATATTATTACAATTGTACAATTTCTTTGTTTCATTGTGTGCGTGTGTGCGCGCGCGATTCTTCCAAAACCGAACCAACGTAAACGTTACTTCGGGCGTTTAATAGTTCCAACGTCTGCATCGACACCGAAACTTTTATTATGGTTTATATTTTCTAAAACTCGTTTAGCGACATCCGAATCACGGGCGGTCTTTTTCGATTTTATTTCAAAAACGTCAATTCCCGAACATTTTTCCTACGTATTCCTTCGTTTAATAGTTTGTGGTTCGGTCGCGTTTTACATTTCGACCGTGCGATGATGAATTTTTAATTCGAAACCGGTCGCACAACCATAATACTCCCGGCGACGCATTGGTCCGTTTATTTATGACATTTCCATGTGCTCGTTTTTTATTTACACGTTCGTTTACTATATTTGTTTACTTTATTATTTTATTCCATACTCCAGGACAACAATAATTTACGGAACATCCGTCGCGAATTATATTATCGTTCGTTCATTCGTGCGATCGTTCGGGAAATCTTCGCGAGCCGCGTTGTAAATCCGGAAAAATAGACGTCATCGCGCAGAATTGACAAAACCCGCGTGGAGTATACACAATTACGATTCGGAATTTCATTATAATTCCGGAACCGAGAAAACGTTCAAAAACTGTACACATATATAGATATTTTTTTTTTTCCTTATAAATCTGGACGTTATTATTCCGCTTCTTCTTCTTTTTTCTCAATAACAGTTTTATACAGGCCGTTGAGGCCCGTCGCTTCAAAACACTATCCTCAACGCGTCTTGAGCTATACGCTCCACTAAAATCGCCCAACGCCGTAACGGTTCTCGAGCTTAAAACAGTTGCCCCTCAAAACGTCCCGTATATTAAAAATATCCTGCTGGTCAAAATAACCCCGTTTAATTCGCGTCACACAAACTCCTTAATTCGATTGAAACTCAGCTAAAGTCATTGAGTATTTTCCATATTACTCAATGCATTCAACGAAAATACAAAATACGAATAATAATTGACTTTGGACAACATAATGCGGTCGAGATTATGAATTTGCGTTAAAAATTCGACTGCTTTATGCATTGCTGAACATTGTTGGATATTTCGAACGAGAAATATTTCTAACAGAGATAATTCGAAGGGAGTTATTTTCAATAAGGATGCGCCAAGTCTGGACTTCTTTGTTTGGTGTTTTCTCGAAATTCGTAACGATTTATGCTTCTCGTCGTTTTTCAGGTCCGTATGAATCCTCTTAGGGAAATTTCTCTCCATCACAGCTGATTTCTTCTAATCCGCCTGCTAAGTTGTGAGCCACGTTTCGCACGCAATGACCGTTGCAGGTCTTGCTAACACTATTTCGTAATAACGTGTAAATGTCTTCTATCGATTTCTTCGATAACAACTTTGACTCTATATTTACTCGGAGAGCACATCGAATCAGTGGCGTTCCCGGACATGTTCAACGTGAGGGGATGCAGTAAATAATAGCCACGGTTCATGGATAAGTCTTTGAATCTACGTCTGTCTCACACCTTACCCGACAACGATAACTGAAAAACCGGATCCAATAACGCCGAATCGCATTCAATAACCCGAGCTTTTTTTTCCTTGTTACTTCGCTAAGACATATGATTTCGAGATAAAGCCGGTAAATAAACGCTGGCAATTGTTGTTTTGTTAAGCCGATGCAGGGGGATATTATCCCGCCCGCCCGCGCACGCCACTGTATTGAAAAATGTTTTTTTAATTTCTCCGCGATGTGCCGTCGGTTATGTTGTTTTTTTAACGCCGTGCCCGAGTATTTAAAATCCTAACCCAATATATATGTGAATTATTAACGAATTGCATTTTAATTGTTTTGTTTTGTTTTTTTTTTTTTTCAGGGATGTATGAGCTGTTGTAATCTAAAATCTATTAACAAAATCACGATCAATTCAAGTCATCATCAGTTTATTAAAACAACTAATATACACAGTATATAAAAAAAAAAAAAAAGTTCGTTTTTTATTAGTGTATACATATTATTATTATTGCATTACATTATTATATTACTATAATAACTTATAAAACATTAATATTGTAGAATATAATTATTACTTTCGCATACACAAATATCGAACGATAATAATGATAACGACTATTATTATTATTATTATTATTATTATTATTAATTTGCAGTACATAAGTTGTAATAGGTATTTTTTTTTTTTTTTTTTTGAGTTTCCTTTATCCATTTTTTTTTTGAAATAGGTCGGAAACCGCAGTTATATTCTATACACTGTCAACGATCACGCGCGCCGATTATATTACGCTAAACGATATTATAACTTTTTCTTTTTTTCTATTTCTCTTTCCGACAACATTTTATTATTGTATTACTTAACGGTATAGACCGAGCACTTTGCATTTCGTATTGCTGTAATATCATTACGATAAGACGAGTACCGATAATATTTTAGAATACGTTATTATTATTATTATTATCATTATAATTACGCGAAATATTAGACGGAACGGAACGCAACGACAAAAACGGAAACAAACGGCGCGAACGGTATCAACGACAATCCGAATGGCAATAATCGCGCCACTGTACGCGCGCGTAAAATCCGTCCGCGGTACAGCCGTCGTCGTTGTCGTTGTTGTTGTTTTTTTTTTCTCTCCTTTTTTTTTTTTGTTTTTTCTCCTCCCGTCCGCGTTCGACTCGGACCCCCGCCGGTCCGCACGCGCGTGTGCATTGTCGCGCGCACGACGATGTTTACCCGCCGAAAGTGAAATGTTCCGCGGCCGGTTTACGGGAGAACGTTTACGTCCGCCGCTACGCCACATTACGATAATATGATAAAATCAAACTTGAAATTCACCTCCATTGTTATTTTAACGTTTTAACACGCACCCGGCCATTTTCATTATTTATTTATTTATTTATTTTGTTTTTTTTTTTTTTTTTTTTTTTTTTTTTTTTTTTTATGTTTTTTCTTTCACGCTATCTATATTATATTATATTATTATTATATTATTATATTATTATTATTATTATTATTATTATTATTATTATTATTATTATTATATACTTAGTTATTATTGTATTTAACGATATTTTATTAGATTTCGTAGGGTTATGTTTAAGAAAGAAAACCAAAAAAAACAAGAAAACAAAAAAAAA